GTTTTTATTGAAATAAATATTTTGTTGTTACTGCTTCTAATCATAATAAATATAATCTATGACATTTAACATGTATGCTTTGGTATGGTATTATGGGTTTTTTTTTGTCATAGGAAGATATTATTTTTTGTTTTTAAATTTATTTAAATATTTTAATTTTACTTATTTTATTTTTGTATGTCTGCATTTTTACTTTGTATCATTTGTATGCAGATGTACGTTTGGTTTATTTCACTATATATTTGTTTTTATTTATTTTTTTGTTAAGATTTCATAGAAATTTAAGTTCGATGAAGTTTAGATAGAGTTATAGAGAGAGTGTGTTAAAAAGTGACTGAATTTGTATTGCATATTAATTTTTTTGTAATAGAATGTGTAAGTAATTTTTATTTTAAATATTAAAAAAAGAAATGTCTGAAACAAAAAATGCCTAAAAAATAAGAAATTTGTTTTTATTGTGAACTGTGTTTAAGATTTTTTTATTTTATTGAAAAGTGGTTTCCAGTTTTTGTTTTAGTGGAGAGAGAAAAAAAAAACCTAAAAGAAAATGTTGCATGTCCTGTACGTGAGGCATTGCTGTGAATTTTTTTATTGAGAAATATTTGTTTTTTATTTACTACTTAATACACAATTTTCTTTATTTAGTTCTCTTCCTTAATTTATTACAAATTAAATATATATAATTTATATTTATTTCATTTATTTCTGTATGTATTACGAGAGTATTATAACGGGTACAATTCTACCACCACCTGTTTCCGTGGTTGGGTGGTTGGAGTTTTCCTGCAATAACTGTGTCTTAGTTTTATTTTCGAAAACAAAAAAAATTGTTCTATTTTTTTGGTATTTATTTATTACAAAAAGAAAAATATTTTACCTATTCTTAGGTTTATGTATTCCCCACATTTTGGTTTTTTATTTTTTATTTAATTTTTTTTAATCCCCCATTTTTGTATTTTTTGTATATATATGGCATTGTGGGGAACCCTAATTGGAACTTTAGTTGTTTGTTTTTTTAATTTAATTTATTAATTATTTTTTAATGTTTTCTAGAGTCATTATAAATCTAAAGTCGCTCAAAAACAGCTAAACACAGCTGTGATCATTTAATCAGTGTAAAACTCTTCTGCAGCCAACTTCAGGTTGTTTACATCAATATAGCATGGGTAGCATTGTAAAGTGGCCTGGCCACATATCAAACAATTATTAAAATATATTTAAAAGAGGTAATATAAAAGAGTTTACTTCCTCATTTTCCTTTTCTTCTCGCATTATATTGTTCACACGTTGCAATAAGTGCATGATAAATTCTTTAGTGGCCTGGCCACATATCAAACAATTATTAAAATATATTTAAAAAAATATAATATAACAGAGCTTACTTCCATATTTTCCTTTTCTTATCGCATTAGATGGTTCACACGTTGAAATAAGTGCATGATAAATTCTATAGTGGCCAGGCGACATATCAAACTATTATATCTATATCACTCTTACAGTAAGAGTTTTCATTCGTTTACTTTTCCTTATGCAATCACATCGGTCACACTTTGCCATAAGTGGAAAGTAAGAAAGTAAGGCGGCCTGGTCACATAATAGACTATTATTGAAATTTAAATAAATGTAACGTAGCAAAACAGAGGTCGTAATCAGGCTTTTCATTGCACTATTAATTAAATGACATGTATCATTATGAATAAATTGTGAAGTGACCTGGCCACATATCAAGGAATTATGAAAATATATAATAAACAAGTAACATAACCTCATTTTTCTGTTATGTTGTGGCATTCCATGCTTCACACGTTTGCAATAAATGGAAATTAAAGTGGCCTGGCCACATGTCAAACAATTCCTTTTATATAATTACAAAAGGGTTAAACGTTGCAATAACGAAAAGAAAATTAAAAAGTATGGACCTCCCTTAATTAGTGTAGGTAGATATCTGTCAATTGAACACAGCTAAAACAAACGATCGTTAGACTGCGGAGACACACATCAAATTTGCTACTCAACATGGTAATTTTTTGTATTTTATCTACGGAGAATCGGCTTGAACTGCATTTATATTAACTGAAAACAGCTCAAAGATACTAGCACATTAAGCAGACAGGCCACACACCAAATTAGCTATTTAACATAGTAATTTTTGTAATTTATTATATGAGAGAGAAGTAGTTTTGAGTTTCTACTTCAACTGCATTTGTATTCACTGAACACAGCTCGAAGAGACTAACACATAAAATTAGGTACCCAACTTCGGCACTTTTGTATTTTTTTTAAGATAGAGAAGTAATTCTTCTTAAATTGGGTTGTGCAAACTAAACACAGCTCAAATAGAGACTAAAATTAAGCTGACAGGCAACACATCAAATTAGTTACTCTCATCGTTATCTTCCGTGTTATTCAAGGAATGAAAAGAGTATATTTAAGTTTTTATTTAAACCGCATTTGTGTTCACTGAACACAACTCAAAGAGGCTAAGGCATTATGCTGACAGGCCACACACCAATTTAGCCATTTAACATAATCGTTTTGTAATTTATTAAAGGAGATAGAATTAGTTTTGAGTTCCTACTTTAACTGCATTTGTGTTCACTGAACACAGCTCCAAAAGACCAACACATTAAGATGACGGGCCACACATCAAATTAGCTACTCAACATCATCATAATTTTGTATTTTATTTACGAAGAGAGAAGTAATTATTTTTAAATTGGGTATGTGTTAACTGAACACAGCTCAGAATTAGACTAACATTATGGCAGCAGGCCACACACATTAAGTACCCCACACAGGTCACTGGAAAGAAACATCAATTATTTTTAAACTGGGTATGTGTAAAATGAACACAGCTCAAGTCGAGACTACAATTAAGCTGACAGGCCACATATCAAATCAACATCCTTTTAAATTTTATTAAATAGTTTTGTGATTATTTTTAAACTGGGTATGTGAAAAATGAACACAGCTCAAGTCGAAACTGCAATTAAGCTGACAGGCCACATATCAAATCATCATTTTAAATTTTATTGTACCTTGAAAGAAATAGTTTTGTTTTTTTTTAGCTGGACATGTGTGAGCTGAACACAGCTCAAGTCGAGACAAACATTAAACTGACAGGCCACATATCAAATCATCAGTTTAAATTTTATTAAAGCTGGAAAGAAATAGTTTTGAGATTATTTTCAAACTGGGTATGTGTAAACTGGACACAGCTCATGTAGAGATAAAAATGAAGCTGACAGGCCACATATCAAATCATTATAATTTTAAATTTTATTAAAGGTGGAAATAAAAAGTTTTGAAATTATTTATATTATTATTTATAAACTGAACACAGCTCAAGACTAAAATTAAACTGACAGGCCACACATGGAATTTTACTATACAACTTTGTAATTTTGTATATTTTTAATGGAGAGAAGAATAGTTTTCAGTTTGCTGTATTTATGTACGCTGAACACAGCTGAATGCAACATTATGGTGGCCTTGTCACACATCAAATTCGCTACTCTATATCTTCATTTTGCATTTTATTTTGTATATTATTAATGGAGAGAAGAGTAGTTTTCAGTTTGTTGCATTTATGTTCACTGAACACAGCTGAAAGTGTTGTTAAAGTGGCCTTGTCACACATCAAATTAGCTACTCTATATCATCATTTTGTATTTTATTAAAGTACATTCCCCACTAATAAATAGTTGTTTTTTATAAAAACAAACTGTACTCAGCCTGACTATTTTGCAAAAACAAAAAGAAATAGTTTGAATATTTTTTTGAAAGAAGGCAAAATATGCCGAACTATTGCGACCTTAGATTTATTTTTTTCTTCTAGAAAACTTTCTTTGTAGTAGTTTTTGTAATTTTAAATTATTTTCTTTTCTTTGTTATTTGTTTTCTATATGTGGTTGTGGAAATGTGAAAAACAACTTTCTCTGACATTATTTATTAATTCTGTTTTGATTTCTTTAAGGGACCAAATTTGTTTTTGTTTCCTGGAGGAGTAGGAGTTAGAGTTGATACAAATTTAAAGCTTACAACCACATTTTCTCATTTTCACACATACTTTTGCAACTGAATTTTTTTTTCACAAAACCAAAAAACTAAATCGCCAAAAAGCCAAAAAGCCCATAATAATATTGATACTTAAAAATATAAGACTTTAATGGTAAACAATAAAGATACATTAATAATTATCATAATAATAATATAATAACATACAAATATTTTGTTGTTACATTGTTTTCAGGCAGTTTTTTTCTATTGTTATTTTATTTTTTTATAATTATTTTGTTTGTTTTTTTATTTTTATGGAAAGAAAACCCTCTTTTCCTTAGACACACATTCAAAAATAAATTCACATAGGAAATTATATTAAAAAATTGAATTATTTGAAGAATAAAAAACTGAACTGAAAGCTGTGAATATCCCCAACTGTAAACCCAATAAAAATGAATAACTTTTTTTTCTTCTTCTTCTTCTGTTCTTTTTGTTTTATTATTATAACAATTAACTAAGTATTCGTAAGTTTCCTTTTTTTGTTTTTCTTTATTTTTTAATTTTTTATAATTATTCAAGACTCAAACCAAATGCTAGCTCGTACTTTTGCTCTTTGCTGTAATTTTTTATTTGTTTTTCTTCTTCTTCGTCAGCTTTTGTGGCTCTGTTTTGTGTAGATTTTAGTTTTTTTTTTTAAATATCCTTTTTTCCTCAATATCTGTGTTTTTTATGAATGTATTTTTTCTTGTTTTGTTATTATCTTTGGTTTGTTTTTGTTTTTTTAGTTTTCGTCAAGCGTAATTTTTTTGTTCTTTATGTATTTTTTTATTTATTTTTTCTTAGCTGTGTAATATTTCATTTGTTTTATTTTCGTATTAATTTTTTTCTATATATTACCTCTTTCCAATATCCGTTCATTTTTCATTTCCTGCTGGCGCTGTTATTTTCTTAAGGATGTTTCCTGCTTGCAGAGCTTCGGTCCTTTGCTATTATTTGGTTGTTTTTATTTATTAAGTAATTTGTTGTTGTTGCTGTGTTTGCAAATTAATATTTATGAAGTTGGCTGCAAATGAATATTGATACGTTTACACGAAAACATTATGAATAGGGCAGCTAGTGTATAGGGCATTAGATGTAACAAATAGTTGTTGTTATTGCTCAGCGTAGATGTGCCATGATTGCACAAATCTGTGGTGCAGGCACAATAGATGGCCTGAACATCGTGGGTACCGGAACGCTTAAGACAGGTACCATCATCTGTGTTATTATCGCGTATGTAACCGCAGCCGCGCACAATGCGTACTTTGCCATAAACTGGAAAGAGAGAAAAAAAATAAATTTGTGAAAAAAAAAATCCCAAAAAAAATTTTCATAAATATTTATAAAAAATATCTTTCTATTTCTATAAAAAATCAAAAAAAAAATATTCAAATGAAACTATTTTTCTTAAAAAAATCATATATTTAGCTTTTTATAGCTTTTTCCCCATCAAATAAATTTATCAACAAGTTTTTTTAGTCATTGTGAACCCCCCTTAATCGATAAAACATCAATGCTTTCTAAACACAGCTCAACAATGATTTTCACACACTTGAATACTTTGACTTTTATGTAAACAATAAAATAAATTAACCATATTAGGCACTCTCTGAAATTCATACATTCAAAAAATTTACCAGCTTTTTTTCCAATAAAATAAATTAAAAAAGTCATTTATTGATGGATTGTGAACCACCCTATTGAAACACATGGCAATGTTTACTGAACATAGCTCACCAATGTGAATCCCAATTTTTTACGACTTGAAAACCTTAACTGGACTTTTTCCAATAAGACATAGTGTTGTGATTATTTTTAAACTGGGTGTGTGTGTGTAAACTGAACACAGCTCAAATATACACATGCATTATGCTGACCGGCCACATATCAAATCATCATCATCATTATTTGAAATTGCATAAAAGCCTGGTAATAAATAGTTTTGTGATTATTTTTAAACTGGGTGTGTGTGTGTAAACTGAACACAGCTCATATGAAAGCTAAAATTAAACTGACAGGTCACACACCAAATTCAATATAATTTTATAAATTATTTCTATTATAATTTTGTAAATTATTAATGGAGAGACACTTCATTTATGTTCACTGAACACAGCTCAAAGCGTCATTAAGCTGGCTTGCCACGTATCAAGTTAGCTACTCATCAGTTTGTATTGTCAACCTGTCTAATAGATAATATGTCAGTATTTACTGAACAAAGCTCAGCAATGTGGATCGTATTTCTTACGACTTCCAAGCCTTGACTAGCCTTTTTTCTACAAAATAAATTAAAGACATTTATTGATGGATTGTGAACCACCCTAATAGATAATATGTCAGTAGTTACTGAACAAAGCTCAGCAATATAGATCGTATTTGTTTAACGATTTTTAGTAAGTGAATAAAAAAAGTATTCACACGTTGAGGTTTCTTACGGCGGATTTAGATTATACTCTCTAAAGATAAAGATAATATGTCAGTATTTACTGAACAAAACTCAGCAATGTGGATACTATTTTTTACGACTTCAAAGCCTTAACTAGCCTTTTTTCTATAAAAAAAAAATTTTCTATAAAGGCATTTATTGATGGATTGTGAACCTCGCTAATAGATAATGTCAGTATTTACTGAACAAAGCTCAGCAATATGGATCGTGTTTTTTTAACGATTTTCAGTACGTGAATAAAAAAAGACAAGTATTCACATGTTGATGTTTCTTATGGGGGATTTAGACTATACTCTCTAAAGCAACTCGATTTCTAAGTCGATGTACCAAATCCCAGCTGACTAGACTATTATTAACTATTATTACGTATACATACATATTTCATGGCTTTCAATGGCAAATTTCCAATCGATATTTTCGTAATTCTAAAAAGATTCTGGTTCTTTGAGTAGCAATCCATTGGGAGAAATTAGACCTTTTTGGGCGGAATATTCGGAGGGAAGACAAGGCCTTCACAATATTTTAAATATATAGACAATCTTTTGTGTTTTTGGGTAGATTTTATAAAGGAGATGTATCAGCTGTTCAGTGACGGTAATCATATGTTCAGTGGATTCAATCAGCTGTTTAGTGCCTGAAATCAGCTGTTCAGTGACAGCAATCATATGTTCAGTGGCTGAAATCAGCTGTTCAGTGGCTGCAATCATCTGTTCAGTGTAGTTAATCCCTAATAATGTAGGAGGTTCTTGCACTGACACTAAAGTTTCCTATTACCACATGTAATAAGTCAAAGTACATACGAGTATATGAATTTTGTCGTATTTTGCTCTGGTTAACATTGGTCCTGCATTTTACCTTAACTTCGAGGAAATCCTTTCAGTAATTTTGATGGGGAAGTGTGGCAAAGACATCATTCATCTTAACGTCGAGGAAATTCAGTCAACAAAGCTGAATATTGCCTTCTAAAGTTGTCCCAATGTTTGATCCTCGTTTAATTGGTCTCCTTCGAACAGGAACTGGCCTGAAGAATTGATCTTTATGTCAATTCTGTAGGTTGAAAATTGTTTTCAAGGGGTTGTCTTATGTGACATAACTCAAAGCACACAAAGATAACCCTTTTAATATTGGTCCTTCGAAAAGAAATTGAAGACTTTACTTTAAAGTCGAGGAAATTCTGTAAGCTAGCTTAAGCCTAGTCTTAAAGGATTGTCCTCAGGGAGAAGAAATTTTGTGGACCTCTAGTATATATATATCGTAGCCTGAAAGCCTCAGACTGTAGACATTAGTCAGCTAGGCCAAGAATAGTCTTAAAGGGCTGTCCCCAAGGAGAGGAAATTTGTTAGACCTCGAGTAAGGCTAAGCCAAGAAGAGAGGTGGTTATTTATGGTAGTCTGAAAGTCTCAGACCCAGACGACGAATCCGTAAAATATAAGACCCTGACGAAAATCGAGAAAAAATGAAAGGATTAGTTTGCCTCTTAACTTTGGTAGATTGCAGACTAATTTAAGAAGACGAATGCTCGGTAAAATGCACACCACAGATGAAAATCGTGAAAGTTTTTCGGCATTTTTCCCAATTAATTTTGGTCCTTCGAACTGAAGAATTTGTCCTAACGTAGATGATATTCTGTCAGCTGGGCTAAAAATTGTCTTTAAGGGTTGTTCACAGGCAGTGGAAGTTTGTTTGACCACAGTTAAAGAGTGAAGGTATTTTCCCCGCTTAACTTTGGTCCTTCGAACAGTAACTGACGAATTTTCCTTAACGTCGAGAAAATTCTGTCAGCTTTGCAGACAAATCTCTTAAAGGATGGGAGAGGAAATATGTTTGACCATAATTAATGCTAAGTCTGGAAGGATTGTGACAACATTCTGAGTGAGAGAAGAGGCGAATCTATAAAATGCAAGCCACTAACGAAGATCGAAAAAGAGTGAAGGAATTTTTTTCCATTTAACTTTGGTCCTTCGAACAGAAGCTGAAGAATTTACATTAATGTCGAATTTTCCTTTTGTCAGAAATGCCAGCGAGAGGAATTTGCTAAGACCACGTTTAATACAAAATCAAGAAGATATTGCGCAAATATGACTGTGGCAAAAAAACTGTCTGAAGGGGGGAAGGGGCTTCATAACATATTCTGAAAACTGTAGACAGATGTCAGGAAGACGAATCAATAAAATAGACACAGAAGGTATTTTCCTAAAATAGTGTTGGGCAATCTAGTTCACGGAGTGGATCTCTATTTTAGCAATGAACTAGTTCATGAATATAGTTCATTTGTTCCATGTAGTTCTTTCCTATTTCTTGTTCTTTTTATAGAAAGGAACTAGTTCCTTAATACAGTTCATTTGCTCATGTAGTTCTTTTTCGTTCCTTTTATAGAAGAGAACTAGTTCCTTTATATAGTACATTTGCTTCACGTAGTTCCGACACCTAGATAGTTCATTCGAATCACGCACTTTCGTTTTCGCTCTTCTCGTTTATTTTTTCACATACGATTTAATTACCGAGATCAAATAAAGGAATGATATCAAATAAAGGACCGAGATCAGAAAAGGGTACTAAAGAACTGTACCTACTTCCTATCGTTCCATTTCAGTGAATTAGTTCGTTCCGGAACCAACATACTCTATACCAAAGCTAGATAGACTAACGGATCCTTCCAGCCTTAAAAAACATTGAAAAGTTATTTAAATTCGTCGAATTGTCAAAAGAGAATCAAAATTACAGCAACAAACAGAAAGCATCTGTGTTCACTGAACATAGCTCTATGTTAGGGCGTATTTACACCGAACGCGTTTAATGATGAATCATAATTTAATCGCATTTTAACACGAAATTTCCTTTGTTTATATGCCAAAGAACAAGTTTAAAAAATTATATTAATTATTTATATTTTTTGAAGATTTTATGGTAATTTCCGATTAGAGTCGTTGCCGTTATTTTCATTATAAATATTCTTTAATCTCTTACTTACCCTTTTGTACAGTTTTACGGCATAGAACTGGTACCTTATCCTTAAGATGTTCACGGGGTTCTTGTTTGCTGCAATTAACCTCACCTATCGAATAGGGATCGAATGGATCACCGCAACGGCGATCATATTCACTATTACAATCATAGCACATAAGAGCCGTTGTAACTGGAAAAATGAAAACAAAAATAAAGTTAGTATGATCTTAAGAATATTTTTATAAAAACAAGTAAATAAATAAATATTATAAAAATCCTAACCTAACCTTCAAGTCCTAAATTAAAAAACCTAAATATTAAATATTAAAACCAATAAATAAATATTATAAAAATTCTAACCTAACCTCCAAAAAGTCCCAAAATTTAAAAAATCCCTATTAATTCAAAATAATTTAGGGGGGTATACAAGGAAATCCTATAAGCTGTACACAACTTATATTTACCTTTTTTTTCTAATTAATTCCCAAACCAATAAAATAACAATTAAAATTGTTTTCCCATTTACCTCTCTTCCCTTTTTTATAATCGTTTCACTGTTCATTTTTAAAACTATTTTTTTTTTAATCTAAATGCTCAAATCGTAGACAAATGTCTACACATGTTTCGTGTATGCTATCGCTTGAGAAAAAAAAACACCGACTATTTTTAAAACATAATCCACTTAAAGGTTTGCATTTAAAAGGGAATAAAAACAGAAATACTAAACATGTAATAATTGTTTGTACATATATATAATTATACACGTGCCGCCCGTACTTGATATACACTTTTTTGTCATCTTTTGTCCTTTTTTCTATTAAAAGTATTCACAGAAAAAATCAAATAACCACAAGATAATTAAAAATTATCATGTGCAGCATTGTGTACACTAAACAAATACGTCAGTAATTAACCCCCTACAAAAATGTGTCCAAATGGAAGGTGTTATAAACGAAAAATTCCGGTGTGATGATTTTTTTCTGTACGAAAATATCAATATCGATTTTTTATACGCGAGAAATGTTCCAATACAATTTATTTAATAGGTAATCGTTTCTAATTGGAAAATTTATTCCTTCATTTAGTTGGATGTGAACCACCCTTTATATACAAAACAAAACTGAACATAGCCCACCAATAAAATACTTAATAAGAGCTCATCTATTATTAAATACTATTATGAGAGCAGATAACTGTTTCCATGTGAGAGATTAAGAGAAGGAGAAGTGATAAATATAGAGAGTTCATAAATGCAATTGATTTTAATTGACATATTCTATTTACATGAACTTAACATCTGTGTTAACTGAACACAGCTTAATCACTAAACTAAGAAATATAAAGCTACCTGGCCACACATTGAATTAGAATGACAAATTAATGTTTCTATTGCAATAAATAATATGAAATTATCAACACAGTTAAAATCTTGGAAAATGAAAATTGTCTAACATTGTCAGCTAGGCTGAAATTTTCAAAAATTAATAGAAAAAAGTATATTCAGCTGGAAAACTGTATTATATATCAGAAAATTATTCAGTTTTATTTAAGAAAATATTAATAGTTATAAAATTCAGCATTGTTCAATTTACTAGAACTATATATTTCATTTGAAAAAAAGCAAAAATCTTGCTTTCATTTTTAATTCAGCTAGCTGAATTCATAAAATAGCAGTGATTATTTCGACTAAAATATATTTTTTTAAATAGAGAAACAATAATATTAAATCTTATGAAATTCAGCAAAGCTGAATACACCCAAAACTTTAAATTTTCAATTTAAAATAGTAAAATATTAGTTAGTTTATATTCAGCTTGCTGAATCAGATGAACAATAGATTTAATATTTTTTCAAACCCAAAAAAATTTTTTTTTGAACACAAAACAATAAATAAAACATCATTTTAGGCAAAAAAATTCTCGTCTTTGAAACTTTTGAAAAATTCAATAAAATGATTTTTTCCGAATTCAGCAAAAAATATTTAACCTAAAAAATTATTTTCTATTTTGCAAAAATACAATTTTTTATAGCTGAATTTCACTAAAACTGAAATTTCTCATTTGAAAAGTTAACATTTTTGTTCTATTCCATTATTCAGCTAGCTGAATTACACTAAAACTGATTTTTCTCTATCGAAAATTTCAAAATTTTGTTTTATTCTATTATTCAGTAAGCTGAATTTCACTAAAACCGAAATTCCTCTGTTGAAAACGTGAAATGTTTGTATAATTCTTTTATTCAGCTAGCTGAATTGCATCTATGTTGGCTTTACAAAAAATATGTATTATTTTCTTTAATATTTTTAGCTAAAAATTAAACAAAATATAATTTTTGGAAGAACTATTTGCACAGCTTTGAATTTCTTATAATATTTAATTATTTTTCAATAAAAATGTATATATTTTTTTCAATTCAGCAAACTGATTTACAATAAAATTGTATTTTTTTAAGAATGGGTAAAATCTAAGTTTTATTCCATTATTCAGCCGGCTTATTTACACTACAATTTATTTTTTTCTTTTGAAAATTTAAAACTTTTGTTTTTTCCCATTATTCAGCTAGCTGAATTTAACTAAAATCTAAATTTCTCTTTGGAACAGGTAAATTTTGGTTTAATAACATTATTCAGCTAGCTAATTTACACTAAAATTTAATTTTCTCTTTTGAAAATTTAAAAATTTTGTTTAATTTTTGTTATTCAGCTAGCTGAATTACATTAAAATCGAAATTTCTCTTTGGAAAAGGTAGCATTTTTGTTTTATTCCATTATTCAGCTAGCTGTATTTCATTAAAACCCAAATTTCTCTTTCGAAAAGTATACATTTTTGCTTAATTATTTTATTCAGCTAGCTGTATTTCACTAAAACCGTAATTTCTCACTCGAAAAGTTAACATTTTTGCTTAATTCTTTTATTCAGCTAGCTGAATTGCATAAATAATGACATTAACTTTGGTTTAGTTACACAAATTGATATGGCGATAATTTTCCTTTGGCACAATTACATTAAAACCGAAATTTCACTTTTGAAAATTTAAAACTTTCATTTTATTCCATTATTCAGCTAACTGATTTACACTAAAATCGAAATTTCTCTTTGAAAATATTTACATTTTTTTTTATTCTATTATTGAGCTAGCTGAATTTCACTAAAACCGAAATTTCTCTGTTGAAAAGTTAAAATTTTTGTTTAATTCCATTATTCAGCTAGCTGAATTGCATAAATAATGCCATTAACTGTGGTTTAGTTACACAAATTGATATGGCAATAATTTTCTTTTGGCACAATTGCATATATATTTTTTTTTTTGCATAATCTATTGACACACTTTTTGAGTTGAGTTTAGCTGAGCCAGCTGAGAATGCTTAATAGATATGGACAATACACAAAAAAAAAAAAAAAAAAAAAAACAATGGATGGATGGATTTGCGGCACATAAAAAAACATTACAAGAAACATTTTACATATTATCCTATAGACCTACTATTTTATATTTCCGCCTTTCTCTTTAAAAAAAATTAATTTCCCTAATTGTCAAATTTTTATTTTCCCAAATGCCAATCAAATAATTTTAATTCCTTTGATTGACCTCCCCAAAGAGTGTTTTTTTTCATTGTTTATTCCCCACAGCTGACGACAAACTGTGAACCCCCCCACCCACCTACCACATTTTATTTTCCTGCGTTACGCATTGCACTAATCACAGTGTTTTAATTTTCTACAACTAGGTTTCCATGCCATACTTACCATGCAGGCATGCCAAGAAGGCAACCAAAAGTAATGTTCTTTCCATAAATGGTGACATTGTTAACTAATTTGTTGTTGTAGTTTTTGTGGTTGTTGTTTTCTTGTTTTTTTTTTAAGTTCTGCTGTAGTAGTTTGCAGTAAGTTTTTTTGTTTCTGTTGTTTTTTTTTTCTTCTTTAACGGATTAAGGAAACGATTCACAAATCAAGCACGAAACGTTCGTTATCACTGAACCAATAAGCCAACCAACCGCGAACCAACTAACAACTCGGGCTGATGAACGGCGGCACGACACAAAAACACACAGACGCACACACACACAATAATCGCAAATATAACGGTTCTTTTTATTCTTGCTCTTCCTTTTGTGGCCAATGTATGTCTCTTGGCGTAGTTGTTGTTGTTATTGCTGTTATTATTGGTTTTGTTGAGTGATGGATAATTCTCTCAACGGCAGTCAGCAACAATTAAATCAATAGAGGTTGAAAATCCAATACAACACACACACGTACACACAAACGCAGTGATATATCCTTCGTTTCGTTTGTCTTCTTCTGCTTATTCTTCTTCTTCTCTATATATATTTTCCGTTATTTGGTGTGTTAGTTTTTTTCACTTCCTTTTCTTGTTTTGTATAACAGGCAGCACACTTACACAACACACTGACTCAATCACTCACTCACTTAAACACCAAGACGGAGAGAGAGCGAGAGTGGCAGATAGAGAGAGAGAGCGAAATGAACGAAACCAAACCGTTAATGTCGAATGTTAAATCAACAACAACAACATATCGCAGTGTAGCCTTTTCTTGTATAGAACTGTACAGTCCAAAAGATGGGGAGAGAGTAAGAGAGATAGCGTAGGAGACATGGTTAGCGAGATAGAGAGAGATAGAGCACGCGACATGCAAAAAGATTAAAAGGTAAAATACAGAGGAAAATAATGTTATTAATATTATTTGTGTGTGTTATGCGATATTGTTTCATAATACGGAAAAGATTTACAAAAAACAAAAGGAGAAAAGAAATGACATTGCCATGTAATTAAGAAATAAATAAAATAAAATATAATTGTCAAAAACGAACTTGATTTGCATTAAAGAAATTTGTTGTTTACACGTTGAACTCTTAAAAAAATACTTTCAATTTTTTAACGGCAAAAGTTGGCATAATTTTTAGACACTGGTACCTAAATATACCTTTTTATAAAAAAATACTTATTTCATGTTTCAAGACCCTCTTTATAAAAAATAACCTTCATGTAAACATAGCATAAGAAACAAACTTTGGACCACTTTAACCCTTTGTGGCCCAATGTTACCCACAGGCAACAAAATATTTTAGAGCTTATATTTAATATGCTGCTAGTAGTTATATATTCTAAGACCTGATTATGAACGACATATCAAAAGAAAAATCTAAAAAAAATAATTTTTAGTCAAGATATGCGCTTTTTAATATAGGGAAGAGGTCAAATTGGGTGCAGTACCCCGTTGCAAATATAGTCCAAATTATTTAAATTGCTTCTTATTCGAATTTTACGAATTGTGTCATCAAAATTATGTTTCATTCTTTGATATAGTACTTGGTTTTTTATGATATTGGACTTTCATTTTTCACTAAGAATGTACTGTATCTCCTATTTGGATTAGTTGCATTAAATCTGTGCAGAGAAAATCGCATATAGTCACGGAAAACCATTCGGAACTCAAAGGCTTAACCAAAACGAAGTAGGTATTATTAGTATCGTTCAAATCGTTTTGACATACAGTATATTTCGGTTAATTGCACATCAAAATTTGCACAAATTTTAGTTCAATTAACCGAGGAACCAATTATCTGAACCCGTTTAATTGAATAGTTTGTTCAATTACAGTAATCACGTATAATTTGAGCAATAAACATATGTTTTGAATTAGTAGAGGTCCAACCTAGTCTATTTCACAAATTATGTAAAATATGTATGCAAAAAAAAAAATGACAGATTATTTTTCAATTATTATAAAGCAATTAACCGGTGAAAAGTAAAAGGAAATTTATTTTTGATGACATGAATTTTGAACCAACCAATAACCGAAAAATACTGTATAACATTAGAAAATCAGCTGTCTCTCATTCGTAGACCTTAAGGCGTGTTTACACTTTCAAATTGATAATGTGAATTTTCGCGATTTATTTATTTGAATTCTCAAATTTTACTAGTTTTGTGGGTACTGGGACTATTCGCAATGATTTCTTAAACCGAATTTACGTTAGAATTTTTTTACCAGGTTAACCTATTTTATAAAGATTTATATTGGAATATATGCAAAAGAAATTGACAAATTAAATCCGCTGGGTTAACGAAATTCAGTACAATGTAAACGCACTATTAAAGGTTATGGAACTTTTTCTTGCCAACAGATTAAATTAAATGTTTTATTGAAACAGAATGAAAACAATTTTTATCTTTCTTCGATAGAAACCCCTCTCTTGAAACTGCAAGACTATTTAAAACACCAAAATCGTTCCTTTACCCATAAAACTACGGAAACTTTCAGTCAATCCTCCGTACAACAAAAATCCATATACAAAACAAATTTGTTTGTACAGTCCAATCTATTAAAACATTTCTGTAATCTGCTGTTTAGATTAATTTTAAAATGATATAAAGTTCTCAATCAACTGTTTCTTTTATTTCAGTGGTATTTATTATGTTAGGTTGTGCAAATTAATCACTGAATTTTCTAAAAAAAAAATCTAATGGATAATTGTGAATCTTCTTTTATTGATGGACAAAATGTCAGATTTATAATAAAAAACCTTGTGTGTAAATGTAGCATTAGGGTACATTTACATCACACATGTTTAACGGAAATACATACAAAAGATAAATAATAACTTCAACGACTCGATGATGATTTATAATAAATCAAGTTCATCATAAAAAACTAGGCAAACATTTGTTAATTTTTTCGGACTGTGAACCCGCCTAATGTATAAAAAAACAGCTGTTGGAAAAATCAACACTGGACAAACTTAACGCAAGTTTAAACTACGAAATTTACAATCCTATGGATTTTATTTGATGTATATGCTTGGAATTCACATTTGTGATCGAGTGGTTTTCGTATATCTAAACGTACTTTACTGAAAAAACATTCTGATCTGCTGCCAAATAAATCCTCATAAATAAGGTTAACTCTGCAAAAAGCTCTAATGTACATGTCGTTTTTCAATATTATATACTAATTATTACAATTAAGAAATTAATTTTATATTCGGTTTACATTCAGTTATTTTAAGTTAATTAATAAAGGGAAAAAATATAAAAAATATTACGGAAAAAAATAAAAATCGTTTTGTATAAATGTTCCCTTATATGAAATTGCCAAACATATGTTCAGTATTTCAGGCGGTGAACCCGCTTATGTATAAAAAACAGCTGTTAGAAAAATCAACACTGGCCACATTTAAACTAAAAAATTCAGTCTATTTGAAATGTCAATTCCAATCCTTTGGATTTTATTACAATTCACATTTGTGATTGAGTGAATTTCGTATATATTATATAAACGTGCTTTAATTAGTTTACCATTCTCAACTGCTGTGAAGGATAGAAACAAATAACAGGCCTTCAAGATTGGCATGTTAAGTTGACTTATTTTATTGTAAAATAATAAAAGAGAACGGCGTCCAAATTCAAGTTTGACTCTGATATTCTTTTATAAATTGGCATTTCATACAAAGCCAACATAAAATGCCAGGCCTGGATCCTCGTTTGTGTTCCTCCCTTGACTGATTTGCAGCTAACTTCATTCTAATGTTACATATTATTTTAATACCAATTATTATAACGAAGAAAATCTTTTTATATAAGGTATAAATTCACCAATTTAAAAACAATTAAAAAGATAAAATTTTAAGGAAACAGTTTTTGTCATTTATAAATGACAACGATTCAAAAAAAAAATCGTTCGGTTTAAATGCTCCCTTATATGAACTTGTGAAACGTCACTTTATTATTTCAGGCTGTGAACCCGCCTCATGTATAAAAACAGCTGTAAAAAATTAAGTACTTAGAAAACATAAAGGGCGTTTAAACTACGAAATTCACTATAGTTTAAGTATCAATCCCTATAAATCCAGTACATAATGGTGTAACGTATAAGCTATGGAATTGATATTGAAATGTAGATTTTGTAAATCTAAAAGTACTTTAATGAAATGACCATATGATTAATTTGCGGTCAATTTCATTCTAATGTTACATACTTTTTCAATACTAATTATTACAGCTAAGAAAAACATTTTATGTTAGGTTAACATTTAGATATTTTAAAAATCAATTACTAAAAAAAAAACTGACTCGTCTAAAAGTACGCCAAGAATGGCTTCATTTTCGATTTTATTTTATCATTCTAATTACACTGTTGTATTTGATCGTACTTGTTCACATCGTTTTCAAATAATAAAGATAGTGAATGTCTTGCTGTGGATCTCTGGTGTAAAAGAGAGAATATTTAGATAAACAGGGACCTATTTTCGTATACAGGTTGAATGTTTGTACACAAGAATAAGAAAGGAGTTTTCTATTGCCACATGTAGTATGTTTGGGTGAGATTACGGGGAGTAATTTTCACTACAGACTGATATGCATGCGTAGCGTGCTTACCACATGTGATATATAGAAATGTGTGTCCACTCCATGGGTTCATATCAGATGGGTTCACGGATTCTCTCTCTCTCTCTTTTACACATTAGTCTAAGATAGGTTAAGTCATATTGTAATACTTAGTTCTTAAGGATCACTTTTTATTTTAATAAATTAGTGTGTAAATACACAAAGGCGAAATAAGTCGTGCTTTCACTCCGCGGATAATATCCGCGTAAACTAGAAAGATACCTCGTTTATCCGTACTAAATGCTATTGATAAGTGTATTATTTACAATGGCGTTAAGCAATTTTATTTGCGGCAATTGTCAGTTAGTGGAGGCTTGACATTACCCTCAACTCTCCCATCCACAAAATATAGAAATGAGTCTTTTAGAACGGCATTTACATTAGAACTTTTTTACCTCGTTAACCTACTTTTTGAGGATTTATTTGGCCTTTATACAATGGATTTGGAAT